ATGAGTGAATGATTTCCCGCACTCTGAACATGAATAAAGATGCTCACCCGTGTGACTTCTCTGGTGTATAACAAGGGTTCCTTTCCGAGTGAAAGATTTCCCGCACTCTGAACATGAATAAGGACGCTCACCCGTGTGAATTCTCTGGTGTATAACAAAGGCTCCTTTCTGAGTGAATGATTTCCCGCACTCTGAACATGAATAAAGATGCTCACCTGTGTGAATTCTCTGGTGTATAACAAGGTCTCCTTTATGAATGAATGATTTCCCGCACTCTGAACATGAATAAAGACGCTCACCCATGTGACTTCTCTGGTGTATAACAAGGGTTCCTTTCCTAGTGAATGATTTCTCGCACTCTGAACATGAATAAGGACGCTCACCCGTGTGATTTCTCTGGTGTATAACAAGATCTCTTTTATGAATGAATGATTTCCCGCACTCTGGACATGAAGATGTTCGTACACCAGTGCTTTCTGAACTTGAATGAACTTGAGAATGCTCACCTGTGTGAATTCTCTGGTGTATAACAAGGGTTCTTTTCTTAGTGAATGATTTCCCGCACTCTGAACATGAATAGGGACGCTCACCTGTGTGAATTCTGGTGTGTTTATTAAGGGCTCCTTTGTCGGTGAATGATTTCCCGCACGCTAAACATAAATAAGGACGCTCACCTGTGTGAATTCTCTGGTGTGTAACAAGGTGATCTTTATAAGTGAATGATTTCCCGCAGTCTGAACATGAATATGGACGTTCACCCGTGTGAATTCTGTTGTGTCTATGAAGGGCTCTTTTATCAGTGAAAGATTTCCCGCACTCTGAACATAAATAAGGACGCTCACCTGTGTGAATTCTCTGGTGTATAACAAGGGTTCTTTTGTGAGTGAAAGATTTCCCGCACTCTGAACATGAAATAGGGAGCTCACCTGTGTGAATTCTCTGGTGTATAACAAAGTTTTCTTTGCGAATGAAACATTTTCCACACTCTGGACATGAATAGGGTCGCTCATCCATGTTCATACTCTGGTGTCTAAGAAGGTTTTTGTTTTCAATTAAAGATTTCCCACACACTGCATGTGAGAAAAGATTTTCACCTATGTGATCTCCTTCATGGGGTGAAGAAGATTCCTTGGGATTAGATGGATCTCTTGCACTGTGAGATCTTAGATGGTCATTTCCAGTCATAGTATGTGAATGATCAGAAGATTCACCCTGATCAGAGGGATTCATTGATGTCTCCGAACAGTGAGGTCTGTGATGTATATTTTGTGTGTTTGGATTCACTCCTGGAGAATCCTGTGTGATGACATTATCTTCTGAGTGCCAATAAGCAGCCAATACAAGATGTCTCTTCGAGGTATTCCTGATATCACATCCATCTGCTAGAGAGAAATTATTACACACGTCAGTAATCAGAGTCATGTATGTTGGTCTAGAAGTCATCACAGAGCTCTGGCATGGAATTGGGTACAACGTTACGACATGTAAAAACAAATGAGATAAAACACCCAAAACAACTCTGACACACTGGGCAAAATAGTTTTTGGGAATTGATCACGGCTATGGAGAATAAGAGAGATGGACCTTCATATGGTGTACAGTATCTTCTCCTCATTTGTTGGGGACATGATGTTATATTGAGGAATGGAGATGGACCTTCATATGGTGTACAGTATCTCCTCCTCATTTGTTGGGGACATGACGTTATATTGAGGAATGGAGATGGACCTTCATGTGGTGTACAGTAACGCCTCCTCATTTGTTGGTCACATGATGTTATATTGGGGAATGGAGATGGACTTTTCATATGGTGTACAGTATCTTCTCCTCATTTGTTGGGGACATGATGTTATATTGAGGAATCGAGATGGACCTTCATATGGTGTACAGTATCTTCTCCTCATTTGTTGGGGACATGATGTTATATTGAGGAATCGAGATGGACCTTCATATGGTGTACAGTATCTTCTCCTCATTTGTTGGGGACATGATGTTATATTGAGGAATCGAGATGGACCTTCATATGGTGTACAGTATCTTCTCCTCATTTGTTGGGGACATGATGTTATATTGAGGAATCGAGATGGACCTTCATATGGTGTACAGTATCTTCTCCTCATTTGTTGGGGACATGATGTTATATTGAGGAATCGAGATGGACCTTCATATGGTGTACAGTATCTTCTCCTCATTTGTTGGGGACATGATGTTATATTGAGGAATCGAGATGGACCTTCATATGGTGTACAGTATCTTCTCCTCATTTGTTGGGGACATGATGTTATATTGAGGAATCGAGATGGACCTTCATATGGTGTACAGTATCTTCTCCTCATTTGTTGGGGACATGATGTTATATTGAGGAATCGAGATGGACCTTCATATGGTGTACAGTATCTTCTCCTCATTTGTTGGGGACATGATGTTATATTGAGGAATCGAGATGGACCTTCATATGGTGTACAGTATCTTCTCCTCATTTGTTGGGGACATGATGTTATATTGAGGAATCGAGATGGACCTTCATATGGTGTACAGTATCTTCTCCTCATTTGTTGGGGACATGATGTTATATTGAGGAATCGAGATGGACCTTCATATGGTGTACAGTATCTTCTCCTCATTTGTTGGGGACATGATGTTATATTGAGGAATCGAGATGGACCTTCATATGGTGTACAGTATCTTCTCCTCATTTGTTGGGGACATGATGTTATATTGAGGAATCGAGATGGACCTTCATATGGTGTACAGTATCTTCTCCTCATTTGTTGGGGACATGATGTTATATTGAGGAATCGAGATGGACCTTCATATGGTGTACAGTATCTTCTCCTCATTTGTTGGGGACATGATGTTATATTGAGGAATCGAGATGGACCTTCATATGGTGTACAGTATCTTCTCCTCATTTGTTGGGGACATGATGTTATATTGAGGAATCGAGATGGACCTTCATATGGTGTACAGTATCTTCTCCTCATTTGTTGGGGACATGATGTTATATTGAGGAATCGAGATGGACCTTCATATGGTGTACAGTATCTTCTCCTCATTTGTTGGGGACATGATGTTATATTGAGGAATCGAGATGGACCTTCATATGGTGTACAGTATCTTCTCCTCATTTGTTGGGGACATGATGTTATATTGAGGAATCGAGATGGACCTTCATATGGTGTACAGTATCTTCTCCTCATTTGTTGGGGACATGATGTTATATTGAGGAATCGAGATGGACCTTCATATGGTGTACAGTATCTTCTCCTCATTTGTTGGGGACATGATGTTATATTGAGGAATCGAGATGGACCTTCATATGGTGTACAGTATCTTCTCCTCATTTGTTGGGGACATGATGTTATATTGAGGAATCGAGATGGACCTTCATATGGTGTACAGTATCTTCTCCTCATTTGTTGGGGACATGATGTTATATTGAGGAATCGAGATGGACCTTCATATGGTGTACAGTATCTTCTCCTCATTTGTTGGGGACATGATGTTATATTGAGGAATCGAGATGGACCTTCATATGGTGTACAGTATCTTCTCCTCATTTGTTGGGGACATGATGTTATATTGAGGAATCGAGATGGACCTTCATATGGTGTACAGTATCTCCTCATTTGTTGATGACATGACGTTATATTGGGGAATGGAGATGGTCCAAACTTCCAGCGTAAACATATTTAAATTTAGTAGCCTTGTCTCATAGCTCTGGTCCTCCATCCCCTGAATGAGTTTGGTTGCCCTCCGCTGGACTCTTCAGCTCAGGGACATCCTTTCTGTGGACTGGTGACCAAAACTGGACCGCGTACTCCAGATGAGGCCGAACCAGCGATCTGTAAAGTGGCAAAATTATAGACTTGTCCCTGCAATACATCCCCTTCCTAATGCAAGACAGAACTCTGTTAGCTTTGTTTACAGTAGCCTGGCACTGCGCGCTATTATTCAGTTTGTAGTCTACAATGACCCGCAAATCTTTCTCCATTTCTGACTTCTCTAGCGGCATACCCATAATTGTATAGCCCATTTGTCTATTTTTAGTCCCAAAGTGCATTACTTTGCATTTATCGACATTAAACCTCATCTGCCACATTAATGCCCACTCTCCTATTTTATCCAGGTCCTCCTGTAATGTTATAATGTCCGTTTCTATTACCCTCCCGATTTTGGTATCATCAGCAAACACTGACATGTGGCTATTCACTCCCTCACCGATACCGTTAAAGAATAGGTTGAATAGGATTGGGCCCAACACAGAACCCTGAGGCACACCGCTCATGACCCTAGCCCAATCCGAGAAGGTGCCATTTATAGATACTCTTTGTACACGTTCCTGTAGCCAGTTTTCTATCCACGTGCACAATATTTCATCTAAGCCCATAGACCTCAGCTTGTGTAGCAAGCGTCTATGTGGTACCGTGTCAAAAGCTTTTGAAAAATCCAGATATACCACATCCACCGGCCTCCCTCCATCCAGATCTCTACTCACCTCTTCATAAAAAGTTAGCAGGTTGGTCTGGCATGAACGGTCCTTCCTGCTGGTTATCATTTACTATGCCATCATCCGGAACCATCTCTACTAAGTGGTCCTTAATCATTCCCTCTAACAGTTTGCAAACTATTGAAGTAAGACTAACCGGTCTGTCGTTCCCGGGTTGGCATCTCGACCCTTTTTTTTTTTAATATAGGTACCACATTAGCCCTCCGTTTGTCGCTTGGCACTCTGCCAGTCATTTAAGGAGAAATATGGGGTTAAGGCTTTTCCCCGTAGTTCTCTTCTCTCTGAAGCGGATCCCGACAATTGTGCCGGGATCCGCCCACCTGCGTGACTGACAGCTGGCTCTGCCTATTTAGAGGCAGAGCCAGCTGTACCCGCCCCCTCCCCCATCCGTTCCGCCAGTCAGCACTGGAGGATAGGAGCGGGGAATCCAGCCCCTCCCCCGTCACAGCAGAGAGCTGTGACAGGATCGAGAGGTGAGCAAACGCCGGTATGTGTTTGCTCACCTCCCGATCTACTGAGCCGACCTGTGACAGTCTCATTGTCACAGGTCGGCTAAAACTATGAGGTGAGTGAAAAGCACTCACCTCATAGTTCTCCATTAAGGAGTCCTTAAAAATGAGGAATAATGGTCTTGCTATAACCTGACTGAGTTCTTGAAGTACCTTGGGGTGCAGGTTATCTGGTCCTAATATTTTATTTGCATTAAGCAGTTTAAGTCTGTGTTGTACCCCGTTTTCTGTCAACCACTGAGGTATATTTTGTGTTGAACTATGTGTTTTCTTATGTACATTAAACCCGTTTTTTTCCTGAGTGTAAACTGAGGAGAAAGAAAGTATTCAACATCTCGGCCCTCTCCCTGTCGTTTGCGACTAGCTTCCCGTTCTCGTCCTTTATTGGGCCTATCTGCTCCTTTCTTACCTGTTTACTGTTTATGTATTGGTATAATTTTTTGGGGTTCCATTTACTAACTGTGGCGATATGCTTTTCGCACTCTATTTTAGCTGCCTGAATGACTTTTCTACATCTTTTATTACATTCTTTGTAGTTATGGAATGCCACTGACGTTCCCTCCGTCTTATATTTTCTAAATGCCGTTCTCTTGTCCTTGATGTGTTGTTTTACTGTTTTATTTAGCCACATAGGCTTAGTTTTTGATCTTTTAAATTTGTTACCCAGCGGTACACACTTGGTAATAGCCTTTTGTAATGTGTTTTTAAAGCAATCCCACATCTGGTCAGTGCTCAGTTTGTGAAATAAGTTTTCCCATTTAATTTCACACACTAGCTGGCGTAGTTTATCAAAGTTTGCCTATCTAAAGTTTAGGGTTCTTGTCCGACTGGCCTACTTCCCTTTCCTGTACCCAATATTGAAAGTAAATCACATAGTGATCAC